AGTGCGGCGTAACAGCCAAATTAACCCATCGTCTGACTAAATGAAAACAGAAAAAATAAAATGGAAAAACGGATAAAGTTAAGTGAAGATAAAACTATGGACAAGTTGGACAGCCAAGCCATTAACATTTCCTGCCCGGACACAAGTTAGAAACAACCGCTGCGACGATAAACAGTTCCAGAACATGTCACGGGCGGCAGTGGAGGAAGGTAATGATGAAGGATGATGTCCAAGGTGTATACTGACGTGAAAACAAGCCTCTGAGTGATAGTGAGGATGATTAAACACGAGGGTGGTGGTGATGAGTGATAATGAGTGGTGCTGATGATGACTGATAATGAATGGTAGTGATGATAACTGATGGTGAAGCTGCCAGCAAGTCATAATGATTTTCAATGACTGATAATGAGTAGCAGTGACTGACAAGAGTGGGTAATTTATGATTGTGTTAAAACTGAATGATAATGAGAGCGATGGTTATTAGGGATGATGATAATAGTAGTGGCAGGAAATATTTTCTTAAGCATGTTGTACTTGGGTGAGGTAGGCCAGGTACGCGCCATTGAAGGTTAAAATCATGCTTCAAGAGATAGTGTTAAGATTTCATATTATTTTATGTACAATGACATAAAAAATGATCCACGTAACATAGTAATGATTGCATTTGCATAAAAATGGGGGAGGATTGGGGGCAATCTTTATGAAGAAAAAAAAGCCTGAATGGTTATTAAGAATGACGAATGAAGTTGGGTGATGGTCAGGGATAATAGTGACGAATAAAAATAATTATGTAATGGTGAGACTAAATGATAATGATTAAAGTAACTGAGGTGAGTGAGAACGTCGGAAACCTAAATAATAAGGCATCAATGGTAAAACGGACTAGGGTGGTGATATGAATGTGGGCGAAACGGTACAAGAAACGAATACGCTAAATATAGAACACAAAACATACTAAAGGGTACAGGGTGTTAGGGGAGGGGATGAGGCAGGAAGGGAGAGAGGAGAAGAGTAGGCAGGAGAGGGGAGGGAGGGAGGTTCCTGGCTGGCGGGTCCGCGGCGAGACGCAGATGGTTAAAGGTGAAGGGACTGGGTGAGGCAGCCACTGGTCGAGCAACCCGGAGAGGGGAGTGGAAGTGAGGCAAGGGGTATAGTAGGGAAAGTGAAGGGCAGAGGTTAGGAGAGGATATGATAGATGAGGGAGAGGGAGGCAAGAGCGAATGGTTGAAGGTGAGGGAGCACCTGGACGGTGGTGGACCTGGGGAATGTGTGGAGACGGGGTGAGGGAGCCTCTGATGACTCGTGTCGCCAGTTTCACTCCACTCAGCATTACCTAAGTTATGTGGTCCCGCCTCTCACATTAGGCGCCCCATTACATCTTTCATATTCCAAGGTCTTCCAAATAATGACTAGAGAATGAATATAATTATGTGAAGGTATCTTATCCCGACAGGGAGAAAAATATTTTGGTGTGGTAGTAAGGGCAATCTATTTCTTTTTTTCCGGACTGATTGCCCGGTAGGTCACAGTATTCTTTGCCCCGCTTGATGGATACCACACTAGGGATGCTTTACGTGTCTGCCTTCCAGGAATGAGCCAGGAGCTCGATGGCGTAGTGAGATGACTACCAAGAAACACTCTAGGCAGGAAAAGTGGGACAATGACACTTCCCCTTCAATACTACCCACACACCTCTGGACCTTGGCGCTGAGGTTTAATCTTCCGGAATACTGTACAATACTGTTCATTCATCTGAACAACTGCCAAATTATCGTATTACAAGCATCTTCAGCCTTAAATATTTATGAGACGGTGAAAATATCCTTCATGCTAGCATCCGTTGTAATGATTTGTTTGTTTTTTTCTCAGGATTTTCACTGAACTGTGTGTAACGCATAGAACGCAAATCTGATGGTATCATGGGGAAGCAAGGAAAAGGCGAGCTTGAATTTACTTATGAAGCTGCAAGTAAATAGCGACCTCTCTGCGCCTTCGGTGAAATAAACTACAGTGTTTAACTGTGATTTAAAGAAGAAACACGCCACTGAGCGTCAGACATATTAATACAACTTAAAACCAGGGTTAAGTTTCTATGAAGTAAAGCCGACAGGCCGACTGCCTGTAGGAAACTTGACTCTTAAGTTTCTTTGCAGTAAAACAAATAACGTATACGGTAGTGAAACTCCCGAAGAAAACAAACCATTTTAAATCGCGAACTTAGGACGCATTTACCTAATAATTTAATGTCCTGAGGGTGACGCCTCGAGCAGGATGCTGGAGAGGGGTTACTCAAGGACGACCTCTCTCTTGAGGATCTTGTTTACTATGATCATCTTCGGTCTTGTGCGTGTCTTTATTTCATTTGGTTTTCTCAATAAGAAAATGAGAAAGACTGTGACAGTATACATTATCCAACATAGTTCCAGCGCGACATTTTTAGTTTCATTTTAGGAAAATAAACATGGACGGGACTTGCAGACTTGTACAACTGACGGCGAAGTTAAATAAACATAAAATTAGGATTTATATGAACAAATATCACACACTAAGCAATTGGCCCTTTAGAAACCGATCTACTAGTTGCCTGTTCCATTAATGACTAATCCACTCTGGAGGGGTTGGGAGACTGTTCCATTCATCCAACACCAAGAAGTAAGTTGTGTGTTCCACTGATCCAGTCCCAGGTGATTAATTGTCTTCTACAGATTCAATAAATAGTGGTTACTGTAGTTTTCCGTCCAGGAACAAGTGGCTAGTTGCCACTTCCACTAGCTAATCCACCTCTAGCATTAGTTCGAAGTAGAACACATTTTCGTAGACTCCACATGGATTGATGGTTAAATATCGCATTCAATCTCGATCCACTTCCAATTGTTCCAAATTTACACCAACGAACCACTAATGGCGTCTTAAATACGCTGGGTGGTGCTACCCTCTCACTAAGAAGTGTCGCAGAGTTTCTTGTGGTTGTGTGGTAACAAGAGGAAGCGGCTAATACTAAAGTAGTCGACACGACAGTACCTGTGTTGAGGCGAGCACAGCAGGATACTCACAATGAGGCTGGTGTCTCTTCCTCAAGGCCAACCCCATTCTCAGCCAGATGTTGGTCAAGGGCTGATGGTGTCATAGTGATGTGCTTTTGTTTTCATGGTGAAATACCTGATTAAAATGCTTTTGGGGTTGTTGGTGAACCGCATTTTATTTGGTTTTCAGGAGTTTCTTGGTGACAATCTCATGGTTTGGTGGTGATGTTATTTTAGATTAGTTTACATGCTTATTTAATTTCACTTTGTAACTTCTTCCATGTGCTAGTGTTGGTGAACTTCGGACTTAAATGCAGCTCACACTTGGTGCTGTCACAAAATTCTCTGGCAGGTTGTTCTAAAAGCTAACAAGTCTTATTCCAAAGAAGTTAGCTTCTCTTGTTTGAGGATGTGACTTCTTGTGGGTCACCCATCTGATAACTCCATATACACTATGTATATTTGACGGAATAATGTGCTTAAAGATGCTTATAAACTAATACTAAATAATCCCTTGCCTTCTACAGTAGCCATCTCCGAATAGGGAGGGAGAAACTTAGATAAATTCAACAGTACTAAAACACAGTATTCACCAATTACACTTTCCAAATTAGATGATTTTCCACCAATCACATTTCAGGATGCAATCATTCTGCCAAATTCTAAAATACATATGCAAGGCCTCACCATTTCCTGTAATATGTCATGGAAGCCACACATCCACAACATTGCTAAAGCTGCCTCCCAAAAGCTGGGAATGCTGTACAGATGCCATAGCTACATCACTCCTGAGCAGTTGCTTCAAGTTTATAAGAGATTCATTCGTCTTAACACGGAGTACTGCTCTTATGTCTGGGGTGGTTCTTCTGTCCAACTGTTAGAGTGGAATCAATGGCATTTCGACTTATTAACTTTCCTCCTTTAGTTGATAATCTCTCTTCCCTTTCTCTTCGCCGCAATGTTGCTTCACTCTCTCTCTTTTACAGGTACAGTACTTTAATGGGCAATGTTCGGTGGATTTGGCATCCTGCGTACCACCGGCAAGGTCGTGGGCTGGTCAACACTCGTCTTGCCCGCGGTGCCCACCATTTCTCTGTGGTTGTCGGTCACACTAGAATAACCCGTTATAGTACATCCTTCTTTCCTCACACAGCCAAACTGTGGAATGCTCTGCCTTCTTCTGTGTTTCCACACTCATACAATGTCTCGCTTCAAAAAGCTGGTTTTTCCGGCATCTTCTTTTTGTAGATTAATATAATCTTTTTCTCTTCTATTTTTAATTTCTTTTTACTTTTTTTCGCCCCCTAGGCCCCGTTGCGGGTCGATGACCTGTGCCCGGGTAGACTATTCCCTGTAAAAAAAATGCAAGTGGAGATGTTTTAATCTCTTGGTAAGTGAGATATCCGAGTGCCGGCACTCGCTTGGTGGCTCTCTTATCCGAGTGCCGGCACTCGTTTGGTGACTCTCCTTTAGATATTCTCAATTAATTGGTAGTCTTTGGTGTAACTCAGAGACACCAGTTGATTAGCAAGAATCGTCTTCTCACAATTACCTGAGAACTTCTTTTCATTATCAACATAAGCATTCAAATCTTTCTCAAATCTAGTTTCACTTAGAGAAATGTCATCACTAAGATATTATTGGTACAACCATGGTGCATCCTATTGCACTTCTTGACGTTGTTATTCCAATATTCATTCCTGTGTAATTACTCTTGAAGCCAATAGAGATCTTCCTTTAGTATTTCATATTCCATTATACTGTACATATGCTGTACTTTTAATTTGTCTGCATACACTTTCAAGGAAGAATGAATAGCATCTGGCATAGCATTTACGGAACACATGACGATTTTGTACCATTAATTGTCACATAAGTGTATTATCTCAAAAGTATTTTCTTGTTATGTATGGTTTCCAAAATTGATATTGCACATGCCAAGTTTAATTTTTTTTTTAACAACATAATATTTTTCAGATGTCGATTGGGTCCACGGTGCCGTTAATGATGGGTCGAGTAGTGTTGCTGATGATGGTGGCGGTGGTAATTACTGGAGGAATGTTGGTTGTGGATGCCAAGCCTGGACGAGGGCCACACTTTGACACCTCTATCAAGGAGTATGATAATGAGGTAAGACTTACAACTGGCTTAAAAGGTGGACAGGTACTGTATGGGTTTGCAGAAACTGAGGTAAAGTTGCTATCAACTTTATAAGTTTCAGTGAAATGCCAAATGGTTAAGTAACAGTTGCCTCAGGCTGCCAGTTACAGGAAAAAGAGGAAAATAAAGCAATAAACCAGAGATATCCATTAGTGGTGACCTCGAGTTACCCACTATAGAAGGATTGGGTAATATAGTAAAGAAACACCAAGATCAATTAACATTGGTATTGTAAAGGCCTGGGACTTAGGGATAGAAGTCCCTTACCGGACTAATCAGGATCTTAATAAAAGAAAGTCAAGGACCATGGTTTTATGAGGAATAACAAACAACCATTTGAGATTGACATCTCTTTACTATAAAAAATATAACACAAAACTCTGACACCACTCGACAAACATCAAATAACAATGACGGGAGTCAAACAATTAAAGCAATCAACAGTTAAAGGAAGTCCAACAATTAATGGAATCAAACAATGAACAGACATTTCCTACGGCAGCGGCCCAGGGAAAGGTTCTGGAACGCAGTGATCCACTCGAGCGACAGCGGCCGATGTATTGCTACCGCGGGAGAGACACCGGGGCACAGACGGAGGAGGTGAACTGACGGTCGTGGTATGGGGTCCAGGGAATGACAGTCGATAGGTGAAGGTCTGGGGACACAGCCCATGAGTCCAGAGCCTTTGATGAGATCTCAGCCAGAATTTGACGAACAGCGGGGAGATAGTGACTGTAATGACGGCTGGGGTGAATCTGAGCCAATGACACAGGTAGCAGCGACGTTCTCACCTCTGTCCAACCCCCAAGTGAGGGTCGCGCCAGCAAACGAGCGAGTGAGCAGCGGTAACGAGCAGGAAGATCGTTTCCGCCCTTACAGGTATATAAAAGAAATGGGAATAATGAATGAGGATAAATTAGTGACCTGGTAACTAGTGTGTCATCAGGTCACCGAAGTGCCATCAAGATACTAAGTCACGAATTTTTTAGTACAGGGATGCGTCATTTAGCGATCGGGATGAGTTCCTGAAAAAACAGATCCAAGAGTACAGTAATGGGAAATGATAACTTAAACAAGGGATAACAAGGAATAATATCTATGGAGATTGCACATAAGTGTGTAGCGGAGTTGCCTGGCCGACTCACCACCCAGTAGCACTCAGAGCTGGTGGGGGTGAGCTGCGAGATATTTTATTCTTTTTTTATTTTATTTTACTCTGTTACATGCACACACACATTCGTTCATACAGAATATCCAAAGGAATAAAAAATCATTGCCATAAGGTCAAAAACATAAAGGGAATACAGTACACAGTTCTTACCTCGTCCACCTGTTAGCCGACATGAGCAAAGAGGGGTGGAGGAGCACTCACTTTAGTATACAATATCACAATAGTACAGGGTAATGAACAGTCCATACAGTACAGTGTACTCAATAACATGCCAAACTCACGACAATAACAGAAATGCACAGCAATAGGAATGATGCACAGCGATCAATAATATACAGAGCAATATAGTATAATAAATCATAGATCCCAATATTCAAAGGCATGGTAATCACTAGTGTAAGAATGACCTGGGTTCGTAGGTGGCGTGCCAGTAGCATACCCTTACAATACATGATTTCTCTATAACAAACCTAGATATGTACCCCGTCTGGTTACCTAAAAATTACTTTGGTTTTTGTTCTAAAATCGTTTCAAAATTTCAGGTTGGCTCCCTTTCCAAATGGTTTAGTGTTGTCCTTGAAGATACTACATTGCCACGATCTCTGAGTGGGCCGGGAGATATTCAGTATCACACTCGGCATTTATTTTACACCACTTAATTTTGTTATTTACATCTTTTTTTATATACGTATTACACTCGTGATTATATATTACTGGATAGGTAGGTGAATAGATAAATGGAATTCAAACATAATTTTCCCTCCTGAGTTTTTCCCAGTGAGTTGAAGATCGCTAAACTGAACAATGCAGAACGTTAAATAACCAAGGGTGTTAGAAAATTTAAATCGCTAAACCGAATTATTGCTAAGTAACGATTGCTTAACGGCAGATACCTATACATGTATTACAATAATGCTCAGAGTGATACAGTACTGTAGTTGTATCGTGGAACATTAGCAGTAAGGGAACAGTGCATAAATCTTATTTTTCCATTAGCAAACTTTGTGAACTTGAAATAAATGATCGAAAGCAAATGAAGTTACAAACACCATTAACTTGACACTGCACACTGTAGACATAGGACACCTCACACTTGCCCCCCTCCCCCCTGTTGAATACCCCCACCACCTCTACCACATTTAGGGCTGAAAGTGTTTACCCAGAAGTTGTACAAAAATTAGAATTCATGGAAAACAGTTTCCAATTTCCTAGAAAGACAGGGAGCTGTGTAACTGTTATCAACTAAGCTTAGAAAATCGTGGATGTATTGTACAGTCCCCTTCACTAGTGCATTTACAGGGGCTTATCATATAAACATTCCACAAATCATTACATTGAGATATTAGTTTTAATATTATTTTTCTTTGATTCCATTATATGTTTACTATTTCGAGTTTCCTTCCGTCAAATATAAACAAACACGGCCCTGCCACACTGCACAAAACCTTCCGAGCCTCTGTAAACGCACTAGTGAAGGGGGCTGTACATGGATTTCTTGAAGGCATTTAACAAAGTCTCACATGTACAACTAGCCTCTACGATGGCATCATAGGCAAAATTTTTAAGTGGATTAACAACTGGCTTTAGAGCATTATAAGAGATGCCATGATGGAACATCTACTACGAAACAACCTTGTAAAGGATTACCAGCACGGTTTTATGCCGGGACGCTCCTGCTTAACACAATTACTCAAGGTACTGGATGTTTGGACCCGAATTCTGGAACGGGGTGGCAATATCGACAATACGTATATACCTAGATTTTGTCAAGGCTTTGACAGCATACCCCATGAAAGGCTAAAAATTAAACTGGAAGGGTATGGGATTCGATGAAATGTCCTTGCATGGTTTGGAGGCTTTCTCTATGATCACAAGCACTGTGTGGTGATTAATGACACGAAATTGTCATATGTACCTGCGATAAGCGGGGTACCACAGGGCAGTGTATTGGGCCCACTGTTGTTTGTTTGCTTCATAAATGACATGTCAGAAGCTGTACATTCCTCCATACAAATGTCTGCGGACTATGTCAAGTTACTTATGGAAATTAAGAACCAAGCAGACCGTGAAGAGCTACAGAAAGATCTCTGTGAACTTCAAGAATGGACAAAGAAATGGCTGCTAAGATTCAATGTCATGAAGTGTAAGAGGATGCACCTGGGACATACCAACGGTAAGGAGGCGTATCATATGTCCTAATAGGACGAATTAACTGTATTAATTGAAACAATGCGAAAAGGACTTAGGTGTGTATGTTGACAATGAACTGAAGCTCTCGGGCCATTGTTAGAAGAAGGTGGACCAAGCAACTAAATTATTAGGTCTTATAAGAAGGTCGTTCAGATATCTAGACGGCCCGTCCCTCGTAACGATCTTCAAGACTGAGGTGCTTACCCGCCTGGAGTACTGTCACCTCTTCTGGTCCCCAAGATATACTAGGGACTGTCAGTTGATTGAAAATGTCCAAAGGAGGGCCACCAGACTGGTGCCGGCACTTCGGCATCTCCGCTACCCAGAGAGATTAGAGCGCCTGCAATTGCCTTGCTTATACAACAGACAGGCAAAGGGGGACCTAAATGAGGTGCATAAACATCTCAAAGGGCACTACTCAGTCGAGTGTTCTTACTAGGAGCTGGCGGACGCTCGCCCCACAAGGGGTCACAGCTCAAGGTAAAAGAAGCCGCAAGTCCAGAAAGCTACGAGGGCTAACTTTTTTGAAGTGAGAGTTGTGAACTCTTGGAACAACCTGCCAGAGATTGCTGTGACGACGGCACCGAGTGTGAGCTGTTTCAAGACCAGTCTTGGCCAACACTGGAGCAGGTTTAGATACATCCAGGAGTCAGTGCATACCCAGCACTTGCTAACAGTGAGAAACAGAGACATGACCGATCGCCCAAGCAGCCGACGAGCCGCATAACTTTCATCTCCAACCCTCAGGTCCGATATGCCTACTCGCGTTTTTAATTTCGACATATCGTAGCGGTGAAAAACCTCTGGAATTCTTTTCAGCCCTTCTACACTCTGACTTTGCTTGGTTCCTGGATCTGGCATACATCCTCCTGTCCTGCTCATCATTTGTCCAAACCCACATCTCAAAATCCTGAGTTTTCTTCTTAACTTTGCCGACCACCGCATGGTTTATGTGTAGCATTCCTGGAGGCACTGGGTTTGGTTTGGGGTATATATTTATTGATAGAATAGTTAACTTTACTGGTTATGATATTTAAAGTATTACAGTATCTTCATTTTTATTCCTTAGTGAGTCAGGTCAATGTATACAGTACTCCTCATCTCCTCCCTCTTCTCGTCGTAATTTCCATTGTAATATTTGAACCTTGTCCTGGTTTCGTCATGAACCAAGTAACAGTTAAATCTGAAGGACAACTTTATTTTCACACTTGCTTATGTTAGACTTCAACTTCACAAGAGTTAAAATGATAAAAGTGTTGGCAGTCACAGTTCACATCAGTGTTAATATTGAACTTAGACAAATAAAGCTCTCTTATTACCTCAGACATTCCTCCCACAGAGAACATGCTGGACCGGTGAAGTATGCAAGACAGAGTTCCAGGCAGAATTTCGATGCAAGTGCCCCCGATGGTACTGGTGTCGTAGCCCTGGTCGCTACTACCATGCATATTGTACTATGTCTGCTCTCGGCTACATATGGATCCAGCCTGGAGGACTGTTGCCTGAGGATGCACTTCATCAATAATTTACCCAACAGAGGCAACTAACAAACACTTGCTATAGCTAATGTTTATAGAGTACAGTATTCATCTTTGCATGATTGGGAAATTTGAATTTGATTTGCACCTCCTATCTTAAACATAATACTGTACTGTATTAAAAGAACTACAGTACAGACATTGATTTAAAGGAAAAATCAGTACTAGTTGGGGACACTTACACCATTTGATCACAACAGTGTAGGGAATCAAATGGCACTACAGCTATAGTATGTATTGCTGTAATTTTCTGTTCTGTTACAGTTTCTTTGAATTAGGATTTATATTACAATACTGTATTATATAAATCTGCACAGGTTAACTCAATTCTTTTTTTACAGTCTTCAGTAACTTGTATCACTGGTAATCATAAACAGGTGCAGCAGACCTACCATTGCTTATATTATTAAGAGTGGCATCAGCAAAGAGATAACAAAGGACTTTTGAATTCAAATGTGGACCACTTTAGTACTGTAGGTTTTGCAGAAAGAAAGATGTGCAACAGCTGAATATGGTATTAAAGAGTTTACTACAGCAACCTTGTTACCCTCTGTTAAGAATGTTCCCTTCAACTCGGCAGTCTAGTTTTGTTCCCATAAATGCATCACCTCACTAGTAAATACAGTACTGTAGGAGAGCTTGTTGCTGTTGACAGTTACACACAGCATTCTCTAGACTGTATTTTGTTATACTGTACAGTATATCATTTGTAACCAGATGACATGAGGAAAGATTTTGTAACTACCCTGGCCTTTCAAGGCAGGGTCCTGCGTATTGCACCTTGGTTGTTCTCTCTCACGTCTGGTGACCATCGCTCCTGTCACTGAGAGTCATTCTAGTTTGGTGTCATAAATGCATCCCTTTATTTACTACAGTACGAAAAATGGTGCTGACTTCTCATCTTCACATAAGCCAGGTTTTCATGTTCATTATGCACAAGGCTTCTGATAACTTTTTTGCTCACAAAATGATGGGTAAAATAATTATCATAGCTTCTCTGAGTAGCCTTGTGTTACAGGCCTCAATGAGAGAGAGGGTGTGAGGTAAGCCTTTATTGCTCAAAGATATTTCACAATATCAGTAGAACTTGACAGTTGAGTTAAAAATTCCCTACTCTCAAGGTGATTTATATTTTGATATGAACTGCATAGTACAGCCATATCAGTGTATCAGTCAGTGGAAATTCTTCTGAAATTGTAAAAAGTCTTTTGTTGATAACCAAAACTCCAAATACCAAAATTTATGTGGATAACACTATAAACCGCTTGAGTCATATTATAAATTTATGTAAATGTTTTTGGCGACTATAATGGCCAATATTTCTGACAATCCATGAAAGCAGGGATGGTTTGTATTGTATATCACAACATATATCTTTTAGAATACTGTAGAGTTAATATAAGTAACATTAGAGCAAAGCTCATTTGAAACTTTATGTCTCCACTTGTTGCTCCTGTGATATACTGTATTCATAACTTGAACATGCATTAGCAACAAAGCTACTTCATACATTCCAAGACCAAACCTTTATCACACAACTTTCTGTAAATTACTAAATGATAACTTTTTAACGTCGTTAAGATGCAAGAGGTAGATGGCCACTTTTTAAACAATCCGGGTAATTAGTCCAAAGAGGAAACCCAAACAAATGGATTCATCAAGCCCAAATAGCAGCTTTGACGAATCCATTTGTTGGGTAACTTAAAAGTAACCCAATGTTCGGGACTCCTCGTCTTACTGGCCAGAATGTTTGAAAAAATGGACGAAAATCTTGTTAACAAATATGAATACAATATATAATTTCCCAAATTATATCTGTCAGTATAGGATTTGCCTTGTCATTAGTATTTCAGTCATTCATTCATTACATGGTATTAACTGAATGTTTTATTGATAATGGCCAGTCAACATAACAACCTTTGTAAAATATTTGATCACCTATTGGTTCAAGTACTGTACTGCGTATACAGGGGGTCCCCTACTTACAAGCAAACACCAATATGATCGGGGTTAAACTTGAAATTTACAGTATTATATTTACTTGATGACTTTTTACTTTCATTTACTATTTTTTGTCATTCTATTTCTTACTTTGTCTTAAATTAAGTGAATTTAGATGTATATAATGACTTAGGTTATGATATAGTGAGATTTTAAACATTGTTCTGTAAGTACGGTATGCACATAGCATGTGTTCCGACTTACGTACAAATCCGACTTAAGAACGTCCTCAGGAATTTACTTTTACTTTAGTTTTATCCTCTTCACCACTGATTGGCTCATTAACTGCTTGGGCGATCGGTCACGTCTCTGTTATGCACTATTGGCAAGTACTGGGCATGCACAGACTCCTGAATGTATCTGAACCTGCTCCAGTGTTGGTCAAGTCTGGTCTTGAAAAAGCTCACACTCGGTGCCGTCACAATAATCTCTGGCAGGTTGTTCCAAGAGTTCATAACTCTCACTCCGAAAAAGTTACCCCTCATAGTTTTCTGGGCTTGCGGCTTCTTCAACCTTGAGCTGTGACCCCTTGTGGGGCGAGCGTCCACCGGCTCCAGGCATGGGCACTCGACTGAGTAGTGCCCTTTGAGATGTTTATACACCTCAATTAGGTCCCCCCTTGTCCGTCTGTAGTATAAGCTAGGCAATTTCAGGCGCTTTAATCTCTCAGGGTAGCTGAGGTGCCTTAGCGCAAGCACCAGTCTGGGGGGTCCTCCTTTGGACATTTTCAATCAACTGACAGTCCCTAGCATATCTTGGGGACCACATGGGGTGACAGTACTCCAGGCGGGGAAGCACCTCACTCTTGAGATCATAGGGACGGACCGTCTAGATATCTGAATGACCTTCTTATAAGACCTAATAATTTAGTTGCCTGATTTACCTTCTTCTCTCAGTGGCCCAAAAACTTCAACTCATTGTCAACATACACACCCAGGTCCTTTTCATATTCACTCTCAATTAATGCAGTTTCTTCATGCCATTGAGACATACGCTAAGTCTCCTTACGTTGGTACGTCCCAGGTGCATCCTCATACACTTCATGACATTGAATCTTTTTCGGAATGAGGGTTGTAAACTCTTGGAACAATCTAGCAGAGTGTGTTGTGACGGCACCGAGTTCAGGTTCATTCAGGAGCCGGTGCATGCCCAGTATTTGCCAACAGTGTGTGACAGAGACGTGACCGATCGCCCAAGCGGGTAACGAGCCGATCAGTGGCGAAGAGGATAAAAACAAAAAACAAGAATCTTAGCAGCCAATTCTTCAACCATTCTTGAAGCTCACAGAGCTCCTGCAGCTCTTCACAGTCTACTAGATTCTTAATTTCCCGAAATAACTTGGCATCATCCGCAAACATTTGTATGGAGGTGGAACTTGTTCGTAACCTGGGGACCCCCTGTACAGTATACCGAATACAGACATAAGCACAACTACAAACACATCAGCCATGCTAAAATAAATGATATAGATACAAACAGCTGGTATGTTAGGAGGTAATCTTAGTAATTCAATAAAAGCATTAGTTACAAAATCATTCAAGTCACAAACCCTGCAATTCAAATGTCTGTATTTTTTTGTCATTAAAGTTTCAGAGGATTATTTTCTTAGGTCTTATTTTCTTACACTGCAGCTCCATGTTTCAGTTTTATATGTACTATTTCTTAGTATTATCAGCTTTTCATTGCTCTATTGTTTCTTTCAATGTTTCCCTATTTGTCTACTCTTTTTCTGTTTCTTCTCACCATCTTCTTTCCTTATTATACAGTACAGTATTTGCAAACAAGCTTTCATTCATTCTTTTCAAACATCCTTCATTTGCCCTGTATGGATGTGCTAAATGCTTACTTGATAGACAGATAAACATACAGAATTCATTTAGCATAGTACCTTCAGGTTGTTCGTGGGTCATCAGTACCAGAGGGGTGGTGGTGGTAGGTAGTGTACTGCATAACCAGAGTATACATTCCATCCATCACCTCGCTCTGATAGCTATATGGAACACACACACACACACACACACACACACACACATATACATACATATAGTATAATGTATATGCATATTACTGTGTTTTATTTGAATGTTGCGTATATTTGACAATGCACACTTTTGAAGCACAGAGTGGTTTGTGGAGCCTAGTGTTTCATTATATTTTAGTAGCAACATATCTACAGAATATATATTATTGATAGAACAATATCTTATTGTAGCTAGCTATGTTATATGTACAGTACTTACACACTGGAAGGATTATCATTTCATAGCAACGAATACTAGAACGGGGAAATTGTGGTGATATGATCCAAACATTGCTGCCATAACTTGTATACAGTATTGTACATGTATAGCATATTGAAGTCACTTAATAATGACCTTCTCAGTAATTTTCAAAATTTACTGATAAATTTGAGCCTTGTTTAGAGATACTGTACAGTACTATGTACAGTACTTTGAATGCATGTCATTTACAGTATATACTGTGACAAATAGTCAAATAATTGTTGTGTGCAATATTTTTGAAAGTGTGAGTGAATGAAGGTTTAAAGCCATTATTATGGCACAACACAATTTGTGAAATAGTAAAGGTGATTATTAATATTTGTATACAGTAATTGTTATTTTTGGTTACCGGTATAAGATACAACACAACATATATTTGGGTGACCTTCTTGCATAATACTGTACAGTACTATAAATGAATCTGCTTCACAAATTTCTCCAGTAAATTTAATAGTGACTGAAATATTCCGGACATTTACTTAGGTATAACTAATGTATTCATTTGTAATCATTATTCTCATATTTACAACTTATAACAATATACTGTACTGTATGATGCTAATTGGAATTCTTTCCAAATGACTTTTATAAGCCAATGAGTAAATTAACTCGCATAATGATGAAATTTTTTATTTATTTATTTAATTTTTTTTTGAGGGGGTAATTGTATAATACTTGTGCTGTATAACTGAGGGAAATTGGTTTATTACATAAAAATATTGTAGAAACTTTGTCTTACTAATAAATGTTAATGAATTCTGAGTATGTAAATTTAGGACCAAAGTATTTTCCAAGGTTTTCTGTTATGTTAGAGTACAGTATTTATCCTCGACCGTGAGGATCTTAATTTTTAGCAAATTACTATACAAGTAAAAAAAAGAGCATTGCAAACAGACAAATTTTCTTTATTAAATAGAATCATGTAAGGCTGATGGCTAACCTTAGTGTTGTTAATACAGTACAGTACTGATAATTTACTAGTGATGATTATATACATACTGTACTGCGGACACATTTTGATGCCATTGCTGGATCATTAATCCTTTACCTTTTAGTCATTATTACTGGTGGTACAGTATGTCATGGATTATAAAGGCTGACAATAATCTTAAAACTGATAATGCATTATAAGATACACCCTAGATTCCTATTCCACCTTCTGCTAGTACGGTACTGTATGGATAGTGTCATATTAATCTTAAAAATTGTCTGCTTTCCTGTGGCTACTGGTATTGACACATATTTTGACTTGGTGTAAGTATCTACAGTATTGTGACGCCAGTATTAACATGTACAGTTTTGGCACGGGTACACATTTTGAGTCAACACGTGAGTCATTCTTCAAGAGAATGATATTGGTACTGTATGTATCTCGGAATTTTGGTACATGGAATTTGAGTTAGCTGTTTGGGCATATTTCACGCTATAGCTAATGCTGCTGGTATATATCATGAGCTTTAAATACAGATATGAGTTGTGTCAGGTACATTGGATTGATGGAATAAAGTGGTACAGTTTTGGTATGTATTTTAGGTAACTGATAAAGACATATACAGTCAGTCCCACACTTATGACGGGGTTAGGGACCGACATCCAGGTCGTGAGTAAAATTGGTCGTAAGTCGAAAATGCGAAAATAATACATAAAAATCTAAAATGGGTGTCTCTTTTTCTTCTCAGCTTCACGAAACTCTCACTTTTACACTTGCCAGCCATTTTAAAGGGAATTACAAACGAAAATTTTGTCAGTACACAGCATAATCACTAACGTTGGGACTCGAAAATACGTAATTTGAAAAATTTTTGGTACGACTACGGTGGTCGTAAGTCGAGGAGTACCTGTACTATTTCTTAGGTTGATGGTATGGTAGTCTTTTGGGATAAACTTGATGTTGACATGTATCTAGAAATTTTTGTAGGGTGTTGGTGTCAGTTTGTTTGATAAGGTGTGTATAGTATAATAAATTGTTGGCAACTAATATATATGGTGATGTATGTTAAAATATTGATATTCACTTTTACTTTTATCCTCTTCACCACTGATCGGCTCGCTTGCCGCTTGGGCAATCAGTCACGTCTCTGATTACTTTTCCCTTTCTTTTATCCTCTTCACCAAAAGATCGGCTCGTTACGCACTGTTGGCAAGTACTAGGCATGCACCGGCTGCTGAAGGTACCTGAACCTGCTCCAGTGTTGGTCAAGTCTGGTCTTGAAAGAGCTCACACTCGGTGCTGTCACAACACTTTCTGGTAGATTGTTCCAAGAGTTTACAACTCTGACTCATGGGTTACATTTACTGGCACTGGTATATATTTTGGACTCTTTTTGATATACAGTTATGTAATCTGAATAGCAGGTATTGGTATGTCTTTAACTGCATATAGTCATAATGTATCATATACCTGTAGTAATGTAGTTATTGGCACACGTACGTATCCTTGACTTTAGGTACGCGAATGTAAGGTGATTTGTACCAGTATCTGGAGGTGAAGGCAGTGGTGTGTTATTTGGGCTCTGTATGTTATGTCGAGATGTAAGAATATTATGTCCCTGGAGTTGTGGTTAATGATTGGTGCAGTGTCTTAAGTTATGGGTAGGAGCTGTGGGTATTAGCATGTATATACAGTCAATGATAAAATCCAAGATTATACTCTTACTGTACAAGGCAGTTCCCCAATGAACCAAGTCCTAACCTTACTAGAGGTCTGCCAGGCTATAGCATATTGGAATCTTGGATGTGTACTGCCACTTAAATAAACCAAGACTAAACTATCAGCAGTACTTGGTGATATATATATATATATTCACGAGTGATTATTGTAAATTGTTTGTAGATATATGTATCATGAGCAGTAGACAGGCAGTGGTTTGTGCCATGAGGTGCAGATAGGCAGTGGTTTGTGTCTTGAGCTGTAGACAGTGGTTTGTGTCTTGAGCTGTAGGCAGTGGTTTGTGTCTTGAGCTGTAGGCAATGGTTTGTGTCTTGAGCTGTAGGCAGGCAGTGGTTTGTGTCTTGAGCTGCAGGCAGTGGTTTGTGTCTTAAGCTGTAGACAGTGGTTTGTGTCTTGAGCTGTAGGCAGGCAGTGGTTTGTGTCTTGAGCTGTAGGCAGTGGTTTGTGTATTGAGCAACAGGCATAGGCCAAAGTGGATTGTAGCCAGGCAGTGGTTTGTGTAGGCTAAGAGCCAGTGGTTTGTGTCTGAAGGCTGTAGACAGTGGTTTTTGGCTAATGATGAGCAGGCAGTGGTTTGTGTCTTGGCAGCTGGGCAGGCACTGGTTTGTGTCTTGAGCTGTAGGCAGTGGTTTGTGTCTTGGCAGGCTGTGGTTTGTGTCTTGAGCTGTAGGCAGGCAGTGGTTTGTGTCTTGAGCTGTAGAGCAGGCACTGGTTTGTGTCTTGAGCTGGAAGCAGTGGTTTGTGTCTTGAGCTGTAGAGGCAGTGGTTTGTGTCTTGAGCTGTAGGCAGGCAGTGGTTTGTGTCTTGAGCTGTAGGCAGTGGTTTTGTGTCTTGAGCAACAGGGCAGTGGTTTGTGTCTTCCAGGCTATGGGCAGAGTGGTATGTGTCTTGGAGAAAGCTGTGGCAGTGGGCTGAGCTGTGACAGGCGTGGTGGTTTGTGTATGAGCTGTAGGCAGTGGTTTTGTGTCTTGAGCTGTAGACAGTGGTTTATATCTTGAGCTGTAGGCAGTGGTTTGTGTCTTGAGCTGGAAAGCAGTAGGCGAGTGGGTTTTGTATCTTGAGCAGTAGGCAGGCCGTGGATTATGTGAGCTGTAGGCGGTGTTTTGCAGTGGTTTGTTTGTGTCTTGAGCTGTAGGCAGGCAGTGGTTTGTGTCTTGAGCTGTAGGCAGGCACTGGTTTTTGTGTCTTGAGCTGTTGAGCAGTGGTTTGTGTGTGCAGTGGTTTGTGTCTTGAGCTGGGCAGTGGTTTGTTTTGATCAGCAGGCAGTGGTTTGTGTCTTGAGCTGTAGACGATGCGGTTGGGCTGTATCAGTTGTGCTGCCCAGAGCTGTAGACAGAGGCAGGTGGTTTTGTGTCTTGAGCTGTAGACAGCAGTGGTTTGTGTCTTGAGCTGGTTTGCGTCTTGGAAGCAGTAGGCAGGCAGTGGTTTGTGTCTTAGGCAGTGGTTTGTGTCTGAGCTGTAGAAATAATGGTTGCGTAGCTGATATAGCAAGGCAGTGGTTTGTGTCTTGAGCCTTAGAGCAGGCAGTGGTTTGTGTCTTGAGCTGTAGGCAGTGGTTTGTGTCTTGGGCGGCAGGCAGTGGATTTTGTGTCTTGAGCAGCAGGCAGGCAGTGGTTTTGTGTCTTGAGCTGTAGGCAGTGGTTTGTGTTTGAGCTGTAGGCAGGCAGTGGTTTTAATGTCTTGAGCCTGTAGGTTTTGTGTCAGGCAGTGGTTTGTGTCTTGAGCTGTAGGCAGGCAGTGGTTTGTGTCTTGAGCTGTGACAGGCAGTGGTTTTAATCTTGTTTGTGTCTTGGGCTGTAGGCAGGCTTGCTGGTTTGTGTCAGGCAGGCGGCAGGCACTGGTTTGTGTTGTTGAGCTGTTTGTGACCTGCAGTGGTTTGTGTCTTGGGCTGTGGGCAGCGGGTTGGTTTGTGTCTTGTGCTTGAGCTGTAGGCAATGGTTTGTGTCTTGAGGAAGCGGTGGTTTGTGTCTTGAGCTGTAGGCAGGCAGTGGTTTGTGTGTGTGAGCTGAGCAGGGTTTGTGTCAGGCTGTAGGCAGGCAGTGGTTTAAATATGTGTGAGCAATGGTTTGTGTCTTGGCCTGTAGGCAGTGGTTTGTGTCTTGGAGCTGTAGGCAGTGGTTTGTGTGTCTTGAGCTGTAGGCGGGCAGTGGTTTGTGTCTTGAGCTGTAGGCAGTGGTTTGTGTTGAGCTTGAGCTGTGAAGCGGATGGTGCGTCTTGGGCTGCTGAGAGCAGTTAGTCGCCCAGGCTGTAGGGAGGTGGTTTGTGTTGAGAGCTGTAGGCAGGCAGTGGTTTGTGTCTTGAGCTGCAGGGCAGGCACCTGGTTTGTGTCTTGGCTGGCAGGCAGTGGTTTGTGTCTTAGGCTGTAGGCAGGCAGTGGTTTTGTGTCTTGAGCTGTAGGCAGGCAGTGGTTTGTCTGTGAGCAGCCTTGGAGCTGTAGGCAGGCGGTGGTTGTCTTAGAGCTGTAGGCTGAGCTGTGCGGCACTGGTTTGTCTTGAAGGCTAGCAGTGCAGTGGTTTGTGTCTTGGCAGTGGTTTAGCTGTAGGCAGTGGTTTGTGTCTTGAGCTGTAGGCAGGCAGTGGTTGTGTCTTGAGCTGCTTAGGCAGTGGTTTACTGCGTCTTGAGCTGTAGGCAGGTAGTGAGTGTTACATGTCTTGAGCTGTAGGCAGGCAGTGGTTTGTGTCTTGAAAGGCTTGAGCTGTAGTGGTTTGTCTTGGAGCTGTGGGCAGGCAGTGGTTTGTGTCTTGGGCTGTAGGCAGGCAGTGGTTTGTGTCTTGAGCTGTGGGCAGGCAGTGGTTTGTGTCTTGGCATGAGCTGTAGGCAGGCAGTGGGTTTGTGTCTTCCAGGCTGTGGGCAGTGGTTTGTGTCTTGAGCTGTAGGCAGTGGTTTGCGTCTTGAGCTGTAGGCGAGAGCAGTGGACTTTGTGTGTGAGCTGGGCGGGCAGTGGTTTGTGTCTTGAGCTGTAGGCAGTGGTTTGTGTCTTGAGCTGTGGCAATGGTGGTTGCGTCTTGGGCAGTAGGCGGGCAGTGGTTTGCAGTCTTGAGCTGTAGGCGGGCAGTGGTTGCGTCTTCCAGGCAGTGGTTTAGACTTGAGCTGTGGTTTGTGTCTTGATGGTTTGTGTGGGTGTGGTGTGTAGGCAGGCATGGTTTTGTGTCTTGAGCTGTAGGCAGGCTTATAGCATCATTTGTTTATTGAGCTGCATTCACAGTGGTTTGTGTGAGCACACGAACTGGTTTGCGTCTTGGGCTGTTATATTTGGTTTGTTTGATCTTGAGCTGTAGGCAGGGCAATGATTTGTTTATTGAGCTGTAGGGCAGTGGTTTGTGTCTTGAGCTGTAGGCAGTGGTTTGTGTCTTGAGCAGTAGGCAGGCAATGATTTGTTTATTGAGCTGTAGGCGCTTGAGCTGAAGCGTGGTTTGTGTCTGGCAGGCAATGATTTGTTTATTGAGCTGTAGTGGTTTATAATGTCTTGAGCTGTGGGTAGTGGTTTATGTCTTGGAGCTGTAGGCTGGTTTATGTCTTGAGCTGTAGGCAAGGCTGTAGGCAGTTGTTTTGTGTCTTGGCAGGCAGTAGGCAGGCAGTGGTCTGTGTGTCTTGAGCAGTAGACAAGCAGTGGTTTGTGTCTTGAGCTGTGGGTGTGGTGTCAATGTGTGTGGCTTATAAGCATCATTATACTGCATTCACACACACACAGACATACATTACACTGTTTAGTCTTAGCTGTCCACGCTCGCGCCTGCTGCCAGTGCGGCCGCGTCTATGGGTTACAAGGCTGCAAAGTCTCCAGCGCCAGCCCGCCCGCCCACTGCCTGCCCCGCTCTCAGTGCGGCCGTGGCCTTAGGTCTTGTCTCTCTAACCTAAAGGCTAATATTACACAGATACAGAGTACTGTATGTCGAGAGAAATGTCTGAGCTGCTGTGCTTAATTACCCAGTACATTGAAGAACCTGTACATACCCAAACTTGAGATCAGTCCATAACAGTAAACAGACTGCCCAGTTTGTAAGCTAACCAAAGGAAAATGGTAATTAGATTTATTACTATTCAAAATTCTCCACCTCCTCCCTTGTACTCTTGACTTTTTTTATCCCTTTTTAATAAGATAGTGTTCTGAGAGTACAGTACTGTACTTTCATTTCACAATTTTTAATGTTGTCTTGTCCAATACAATGGAAGGAATTTTGTTATAATCAGTGACTTTCATCCATGCGTGTTGCAGGAGTTTGGAAATTGTTTTATTTAATTTTCATGAAAGACTACTGTCCAGTATGTAGCTATACCTGCACTGCATATGTTGCTGCCTCTGTGCACTACATTGAATGAAAACGGACCATCAATGAACTACTGTACTGTACCGGTATGTCTGATTAAGTAAGAAATGGATGCATTCATTTCTACTACAGTAGGATTTAATTCAGTGGTGATTTGTTTTAGTTTTTCATCTGGGGTAAAAACTACACTACATACTGCACTATACATTCATTATTGAAGATTGCATAAACTTTAATGATACTGAGCAGTGTGCATACATGAAAAATATAATTAATTGAGAAATAAAAAGGTGACTAAAAGCAAGTATAAATCACCTTATTTGTGAAATTACTAATATATACTGTAGGCATCAACAATTACTTCTTTTTCGTGGGTGTAGTCCCCTCCCCCTCATATGTTACAGACAAGAAGTACAGTAATTACTGTACCTAAGCATTAGAAATACTGTACAGCACTGCAAGTTAGTCCTATTGTGTTGGGGTGTGGCAGCCCGTGGTGTAATGGTCAGCATGTTCACCTCACCAAGCAACACCCAGGTTAATCAATTTGCGGATCGTGTTCCGGGGTAATGGTTAGCCAGTGCAGTTGGCGAAGTTGTGTGGTCTCCTCGGACTATTCCTTGACACTGGGTCATGCAGCTCGTTAACTCAGGGTGTGGTTGTTGTTGTTGGTTGTTAGGTTAGCTACACCTTAAAACAAATTCACGCCTAGGTGGCCCTTAGGCGAGCCATCCTCGTTACGAGAGAACCATTCCATGTATTGTGTAGAAAACTGAAATGATTATATTTAAACTCATTTTTAAGTACCAGTACATCATAATATACAGTAGATCATCTTATTGCTGAAATTCCATTGTAGTCATCACATTTAATCGAGAGATTGTCACAACTAAGCTTTACTACAGTGAACCTTTTGTATCGTAGAAAAGATTTTCATTCATGTTTTCAAAATTAATTTTCATGAAGTCAAGCATCATGAGTTTTAAATCTGCCTTGAATATAAGATTAATTATCATTCGATATGATGTGATATAGATATATGCAACTTATTATACATTAATAATAGTAATACAGTTCTGAAATGTTGTTTTTATAACCACACTGTAGTAGTCTTTGCTACTTGGTTTTTAACATTGTGATGCACTCGAGGAGGTACACACGACAGTGTGTGACCTTAATCACGCTAGGCTACTCTTGTACTGTAGCTACATCGTGACTAAGATAAATGTAAATAATGTACAGTAGCTTTATCTCTAGATGTGGGATAAAAGGTGATCAAATACCCTACATTTAAATAAAAAATCTGAAGATTTAGACGAAGATGAGAGAGGGAATGCAGTTGTATATAGGCTAGAGTTGAGGAATACAGGAACTACAGGAGCCTGAAGCTGCTAGATCAGGTTATGAAAGCCATAGAAAGGAGGAAATGCAGTTTGGATTCATGCCAGTGCAAGGAACTACAGAGACAATATTTATGGCCAGCAACGACAAGAGAAATATCTAAAGCAGGAGAAAAATCTTTACATTTCGAGAAGCCATTTGACAGTGTACCACATGAGAAGTAGCATACAGTATAAAAGCTTCTGGAAGATAGGGGCATTATTTTATTTTCATCGAATGGTGTAAGCAGGGGGCGAGCACAGCAAGCCCAGTACAGCTGTAAGCCGCTCCCCCCCCCCCACCTCACCCGATTTTGTTTTTAATTTGACCAATTTCAGGGACTTTTTGAGGCCATCTGCAATGAATAGTAGGAAGATTTAATGGCCAACATTGGTACTTCAGCCCACTGGCATATTATTCAACCACTCAAACTTTTTTAATCTTGATGTTTTTATGGTCCGACTAATTACCCAAATGTCTATTTTTATATAGCTGGGCAATTTCTTCCTTTATTAGTATATGGTATTTAGGCCCTCCCCCCAAAAAATTATTGAAATTTCCGATTGATGGATATTGACACGTCACTAATCAGATGGCGTCGTATCCGTTTTCTTTCATCCGACTAGCAGAAGCAATTTCCGACAAACGGCAGCCCTGTTCGTGCTGGTCATTCTACTCAACCCTCTCAAACGGACAGGACCGCCTCTCAACAAACTCCTCCCCACACAGCAACTCCCTAGCACATGTAGAGTAAAGCTATTCCGAGTTTTTTTCACCTCCATCCTGAGTGCGAGATCTCCCTTTTGTACAGTAGCTAAAACGAATCCAGGAAAAATCACAGGAAAAAAAAAAAAAAAAAAAAAAGGCACGGAAAAAACCTAACCTACGTGCATCATATATAAATTGTGTTGTCAATATGTAAAAGTCATGTATTGTCAGTTAACTGTTTTAAAATATTTTTAGTTTTATTTCCTTAATTGTGACTTTTTTCCCGTGGCTTTTTTTTCCTAGCCAAAATTGTCATTTTTTTCCGTCCACCGCTAAAACTATCTGTGCAGGTGGGGGTCGATATGCTCCGAAATTTTACGTGTGATTAGTGACAGCCCTCATTACCAAAATTTATTGTCCACGGTCTCATATTGGTTCCCACAAAGAATGAACAAAGTGCATCACTTTGACAAGCACAAAGAGAACTTTGACTACTGCGCCACATATACTACGCTACAGTATCAAAAAAACTGATGATAACAGATGTGATCTGACTGAATTACCGCATATAAAATAAGGTGTCGTGGTGCAGGACAGTAATGAGTTACACCTTTTTGTTAATGTAAAATCAAAATTCGAAGTTTTTCAACATGGAAAATATATAACATCATCAACTATTATTGGATTTTAATAAGTAAGACAAGAACAAGACTAATTTCTTCTATGACACTTTTCTCGCATTTTACCCATAATCTCGGTTTATGGGTAAAATGGGCCAAAAGTGTCATAGATGAAAATCGTCTTGTTTTTGTCTTAAATCATTAAACAAAAATAAAACCCAATATCAAATTATATCCTCTTTCATAAATTGACCAGTATTTACCATAACGTTAGATTATGGCTGTAATAATACAAAAGGGAAAATATGGACACATAGCTCCTGTCATAAACACAAATATTAATGGTATAAAGCAAAAAAAAAAAAGGTAATACGAGATAAAAGTTACTATTGTTAACGAACTTCTACTAACACTTACCATGACTGCTGATGCTCGTCCGCTTGTTTCGTGGTGAGGAAGAGTTATTGGAGAAGCTTAGACAGTCATTTTGTAGACTGAAGTCCACTATAGCCCAAACCTTTTCTAAAATAACCTTCACCATGTCCTTGTCTATATTACTGAAGCACAAGCCGGACACAACCACAGCAATAGGTTGTTTAGTATCTATGTACTGTATGTGTTCGTCTCACCCTTTCCTTTTCTGTTTTATCACACCAAACAGTTCTCCACATACCTCCTGAGCTTCTGTGAATATCCAGACACCACTGACTAATTATCACTAATTGAGGAACTCATTATTTATGAATATTAAACACAAATTATACCGGAAACCACTGCAGCGTGAACGAGAAGAGTGGTGTCATTAAAACCCAGCGCCCGCAGTGGAGGAATACTGGACGTTCATTGGCTGGCGGCATCTCCAGGCTACGCTGATTGGCCACTGGTGTGAGGTTTTTGTTTTTTTCTAGCGAGATATCCACAGAAATCTAGCGACTTTCTGGATACTTTTGGACTGTCCATGAAAACTCATTTTTCCTAATTTCGAGCCATAATATATAGCAACGGGGTTACAGGGACAATAAATAATAAGAAAAGTTTAATACATTTGAACGGGTCGTGGTACAGAAGGAGGGACACGTCTATTTCTGATCACTTGATGTCAGCCCGTCCATGCATCTAACACCCTAAAATTGTGGTCAGAAGTGGCAAATTACAGAGATGCGACAGGTGAAAACCCTTACCATAATCTGGCTGAAATTGCACTCGCTGCCTTATCTCTTCCGCATTCAAACGCAGATGTAGAGCGCACATTTAGTAATATGAACTTTGTGAAATCAAAATTGCGCAACAAAATGAAACTATCGACATTAAAGGCAATTCTTACAATAAAGTATGGGTTAAAAAGACAGAACACCTGTTATGAACTTCCTAGTGATATTTTAAGAAAGATAGGGACTGTGGAGGCATACAGT